TTTTTAACGACAATTGGGGCACTAATACGGATGTATGTGCATAAAATTTAGTGAATTGTTATATATATAATATAATTATAATAATAATAATAATAATAATAATAATAATAATAATAAGAAAATGTTATTTTCTGTGCCACAGAAATTGATCGAGGATGATATGGAGAAGGTCAAAGGATTTGCGAAGGACTCAACGGTGCCTTTTCGGGAGAGGCTGAAAATAATGGTTGGTGTTTCTAACCCTGAAGACCTCGTCTCGAATTCGACCGAAAGAAAACTTTTAAACGCATACAATGAAAAGCCAGTTCTATCCCGCCCTCAACACGAGTTTTATCAGGTAAGCCTTTTTACTAAAAAGAGTTGTGAATTGTGGTGAAATATGCACTAAACGATTAACTTTGAGTGTTTATAGTTTATGGAGATGACTCGAATTTTTTGTAATTATGCCATGGATTTTAGTAAGTTGGTTAAGTAGTCATACTTTTTCGACATATATGCATACAACATATAAAACTGAAATCTCCTATACTCAAAAACATAAATTAAAGGTTAGACCTTTCATAGCATTAGTATGCACATTTGTAAAAAAAAAGAAAAATATGACAAGTCGGCCCGTCTAACGATTAGACCGTCTCATATATCAACTTATTACTTATATGCTTTTACACAGGGGCCAAATTACTTTGAGATTGATCTCGATATTCATCGATTTAGCTTCATAGCAAGAAAGGGGCTCGAAGCTTTCAGAGAGCGTCTAAAAACCGGAATTCTTGATTTGGGACTAACAATCCAGGTGCATTATTATTATTATTAAATGATTTGAAATTGGGTCGTATACCTCTATTTTATTTTATACATTCTTATATTAAAAAAAAATTGAAATTTCGAGCAGGCCCAGAAGCCGGAAGAGCTACCGGAGAGAGTGTTGTGCTGTGTGAGATTGAACAAGATCGATTTTGTCAACCACGGTCAAATACCCACCATTGTTAGGCTCGATGAAGAATGATTAGAACTGTGTAAGCTAATAATGTATGTATATCCAGAAATATGACTATTTATTATAAATATTAAATAGTCAGATTAAATAAATGACTTTGTACTGCTAACACCAAATATGTTTGTTGTGTTGAGCTGTAGTATTCCACAGCTTGCTATGTAATTATTGTTATTTATTTATTTTTTTTAATTTTATTTTCTCTCTTTTTTTATGTCACCATATGAAGATTTAAAATAAAATTGGATGGTATTTAATGGGTTGTTGGCTCGTAATTTTATGTGTCAGTTTTTTCTGTTTTGTAATCATATTTTTAATTTTTGTCATTTTGTACATCATTTTTCTTATGTTTTGAAATAATTTACTTATATGTACTTTTATATATGAATATTATGATATTTATAATTGTAAAAATAAAATAACATACTTATGCCAAATAATAAATATATTTAAAATTTAATCTTTTTTTTTTCATTTGTTATAGACTGTTAGTATATTTGATTTAGAAGTTTTATTAGTTTATTCATAGTTTCATTTCGTCAAATGTTTTATAATTTTAAAAGTCCTAATATACATGTATAGGAGTTATTTGTGCCGAAGTACTCGACTCTACCTAGAGTAGAGTGAAACATTCGTCTTCGATCTTTATCTCTACATTTTACTCTACATCAAATATATTGTTTTTTTATTTATTTTTATTTCATATAGATTACTATATATATGATTATTTAATTTTATATAAATATTATTACCCAAATAATAAAAATGTATTTTATTTATTTTTATTTCAAATGAATTGCTATATATATATTTAATTTTATCTAAAATGTTTATTACCCAAGTAATATAAATATATTTTACTTATTTTTATTTAAATATATTGGTATATATGTGAATATTTAATGAAATATGATGAAATCTACGTGTTTTGATTGTGTTAAATTTTTATCCATATGCTATCACTTTAATATTAAAAATTTCATAATAAAATTATAATACACCAATAAAAAAGCACAAAATTATTTATCATAAAAAATACATTGCACAAATTATTTAGTACAAAAAATACATTTAATAATACACATTATTAAAAAATTTACCAATAATATTACAAAAAAAATAAAAAAATTGTAGCGTTTAGCTACATTGTTGCGCCACATATGGCACCGACATATTCATGTCTCCTTTCTAGCGCATCCTTGGGAGATATTTTCACGCAATTCCAGTGCAAAAAGCCAATTCTGGGCAGCGCTGTAGTCTAAACACATGATCTAGGACTACGAAACATCGAAATCCAATACATTACAAAAAAAACCAAAAATCGACATGTAGGATCCGAACATTATGCATTATATATAGAGTTGAGATAAATGTTTGTTCATTCAAATATACAACATGTTCATTTCAACATATAGTATTACGAAACACCATAATTGAACACACTACGAAGCACCATAATCGACTCATAACATTCTACATTTTTTTTTGTACAAGGACCTTCCGGTTTTCAGATCCATAGAGGAACCGACTAATCCTGAATCGAGTCAGATAGGACCACTAGTCAAGAGAGTGAATAAATATTTCAACCACTAGTCCAATATTATTGAATCACTTATATTCCACTTTTAAAAACCTTGATAAAATCAAATGACCCGTACATATTATTTCAAAGTTTATGTCAACTATTATGAGAATGACCTGACTTGAGGGTAGGGCTGAGCATGAGACTCGGAGAATTCCGAACCGTTTCAAAAACCGAACCGAAACTACCCCGAACCGAAAAATAACCGTTGACCGTTTGACTTTCTCCGAACCGAAAAAATAATTGGTACGGTTCTGGAGATTTCATAAATATCCGTACCGAGAACCGAACCGAACCGTACCGTACTGTACCAAACTGAAGAACTGAAATTAAGAACCGAATTATAACATTAAATGTGTTATTAATATATTTTATGTTAACTTCGATTCTATATAATATTAAGTTTTCAATATTAGTTGCACAAATTTAGTTATAACTAAAATTTGAGTTACTTATAAAGTTGATTTTAAAATAAAATTTTTAATGTGAGGAAGTAGTGTTGAATGTTGGTTTTATTAATGCATATAAAAATTAAATAACTAAAATTTAGAGTTACTTCTAGAATTGATTTCAAAATAAAATCTTCAATATGATGAATTATTGATGAATATTGTTTTTTTTAAAGCATATAAAAATTGAAATATAACTAGGTAGTCATTCAAAAATAATTTAAAAAATAAAAAATCTCCAAAGATCCGAACCAAACCATACCGAACCAAACCGTCCCAATAGTCCCAAATACCGAACCGAATTGAACAGAAAAATAAAAATTTCCGAATCGAATCGAACTGAACCGACTTCTTAGTATGGTTCCGAAAATCAAATTTTAGAATCTCCGAAGTTTCGTACGGTTCTGGAGATTGATAAATCTCCCGAACCGTACCGACCCACCCTCACCCCTCAAGGAGGCGCATACATAAATGTCAATAATAGAAAAGAAGTGGGGTAATTCCGGAAATAAGCAAGAGACGAACCCTAACGCTAACGCACAGATAATATAAATAAGAATAATGGAGGCGAAGCAAAAAACGCAGCGCCGTAGGCCGAGCGCTTCCCCCGGGAGAGAAGGGGTGGCGTGGTATTCCACGGGAAAGGGTTTTTAATTCGTGGCGCACGTTAGTGCGATCGGCGCACATTAAACCAGATTTGGGGACTCCATGGCCGCTGTGCTGCTTTAGCTCTGCAGTCTCACAGCGAGGGGATTTGCCCTACATTTTTCCTCTTCGATTTTTTTTTTAAGTTTTTCTTTTGAATTCATCATTTTTTTAGATTGTTTTGTGGGTTTTCTTTAAATTTCAGAAAAAAATTGTGAAACAATTTTTTTTTTTTTTTTTGGTTGCAAAATTAGTCGGCTAAATTTCTTGCTTTTTGCCATTTGTTTTGCATTTTAATTTATGCAGGAATTGAATCATACTTCAATTTCTATTATCAAAGATGGAGGTAATTCAAGTCTGATGGTGAAAAAATTAATCCGACCCACAATTTATACAGCATTAATCTTCTTCATCCTTTTTCAGGAGCTTGAGAAGTCAGTTCACTAATCTGCAGAAAAAATGCAGAACATTATGGAAACATGTACTGTACCAATTCTTTATATGTTGAGTTCAGATTACTGCAAAAAGGCAGCACCTTTATAAAATCGTGATCGATGAACTTGACGAGCTTGTTCGTGCTGCCTCGATACAGTTTCTGGAGATTGATGTGTCATTTGCCTTGAGACTGCAACTCTCCCTTTCTTCTTCTTGTTGCCATAGTCCTATGCAGTTTGCAAATTAGAATAAGTACAAGGAGTTATCTGTGTAGTTAGTTCTGTAAGAAAAGAAAACTTCTTGGCAGTTCCTCACCTCTGCAAATTCTTGCGACAGGTTGGCCCGTTTGGTGGGCTTCAAGCTGTAAGCCCGGCCCAATGACTGGCCATCCGAGCCCGGAGGACCTCTTGAGATGGGTTGGCTGTGCAGCCTTGTAACACATCCTGCTGCTTTTGTGGCTTGGCTGAAGGGAAGCCACTATAGGCCGACACCTGGACAGGTACCGATTGGGTGCTCGTTTTTTGGGTCGTCTGAGAGGCTTGTGATACTTCTGACTTGGTAATATTTGGTTGTTTTAAGGATGTTCGGGACTCGAAACTGCCTTTTCTCCGGTGTAAATTGGTGGTCCTTCGGGCTAGTTGACCCTTTTGGGGGAAAAAAGACACATAAAGTTGGCATTGGCATTGTTTTAGGACCAAAATTAAAGAAAAAATGCGGAAAAAGCCTCAATCTTTGGGGCTGAAAGTGTAGTTTTCATTTTGTTTGAATGATTTGGGAAGAAGAGAGGACCTCTGCTGGAAGCATTTTGTTAAATTCGCTCGATTCTTGTGAGGCTCTTGGAACTCTCCATGGATTTCTTGAACCCGTTTCAGCCCGTGGACCACTGGTCCTTTGCCTGGAAAGAAAATCGGCACTTCAATCGTTCGGTTCAACCAATCTCGAATAGGTTAATGATCTGAAACATTTACAAGCTTTTACCTTCTCATGTAGTCCTCACGGATTTTAGCATCGATCTCTTTGTTCGGTGGGTATTCTGGGAAGCTTGATGGATCACATGCGTACGGCTTTGTATTGAAATACTCAGAATTGAGCGCAGAAAATGCAGTCCCGCGTTTGTAAGGCTCGACCGAGAGAAAAGTCTCGATTAATCCGATTGCACTTTTCGGAAATTCTTTGCATCTCTCTCTAAGCTTGCTCTCGTAAGGTTGCTGGGGCTTGAACATTCTTGCCAGAGGAAATCGAGACTTTCTCCAGTAGTTGTCCGGTGGCGAACCACAGAGCTTGAAGATTTTATGCAACTGCTCGAACTAAATTGCCCAATGATAAAACGACACGTGAACTTGTAAAGATCTTTGCCAAATTAATAGATTTGGCAATTTGTAGTTCCAAACCTCAGTTCTGCCCTTGAGAAGTGGCCTCCCGATAAAAAGCTCCGCAAAAACACAGCCCACGCTCCATAAATCAACCGACTCCCCATAATTCGTGGACCCCAGGAGCAGCTCGGGAGGCCGGTACCATAAGGTCACCACTCGGCTCGTCAATGGCTGCTTGCTTTCGGGCCTCACAAAATTTGCGAGCCCAAAATTGGCTATTTTCAAAATCCCCTCATTGTTTACTAATATATTTGAGGTCTTAATATCACGATGCATTATACCTCGCGAGTGGCAATGCTCGACTCCACTCAACAGCTGCTGCATATAGCATTTGATCTACTTTCGAAAAAAAAAAAGGATTAAAGAGTGAGAAGACGAGAAAAATTTGTATGCAAGAAGGCGAAAATCCGAAAAACCTGAGATTCGGTGAATTTTATGTCAGGACACGATAAAAGCCCGGCTAGGTCATGCTCCATGTATTCAAAAACCAAGTGTATGCTGCATGAAAATCGGGAAGTGATGATGCCTTGGAGTTTCATGATGTTCGGGTGGTCGAGCTTGCGGATGATCAAAATCTCCCGGGCCATGAACGTCACGCTGTCCGGTATGAAAGTGTCGAACTGGACTTTTTTTACGGCGACCATTTTACCGGTTTTCAAGTCACGTGCACGGTAAACTGTACTATACGTGCCTTGTCCAATCTACAAAAAAAATGTATACTTATACTGAAAAATGTCGTACCTTTATTTATATATAATTTTTTTTAAGTATATCACTCGTGTATAGGCGTGTAAAATAAACGAGCCAAGCCGAAATGTTAAATAAACGAGCCTAAATCGAGATCGAGCTCGAGTTCGGCTTGTTTATCACTAATAACAAACCGAGTTTGAGTCGATCCCGAGCTTTAACGAGCCGAACTATCTTCTCTAGCGTTATCGAACCGAGTTGAATTCGACTCGTTAACCAAACGGGCTTTAAATGAGCTCGAGCTCGTTTATCAAAAAAGACGAGCTGAGCTCAAGTCGGGTCGAGTCGAGTCGAGTCGGGCTATTTTAGTTTAACAGAACTAATTGTGTATACGGGTTTTATTTACCTTTCCCAATCTTTGGTAAGTATCGGACCTCAGCGGCACCCACCCATTGATGGCTTCTCCGGCCACTGCTGTCAGCCAGGCCGGCCATTCTGCTGCTGCCAGTTGGACCTCCGGCAGCTTCCCAATTTTAATCTCCGGCTGCGTCTGCTCATCATCCCTTTTCTCGATGGCCTTCAAATCATCCGAAACATTGTCAAGATTGCCACTTTTTTCCGCATTCCAAGATTCCCGGTCGTCCACCACGTCACCCTTCCCCTCCAACACCGCGTCCTTCTCGGGCTCCACATTTATTTCTTCAAGCGGCCCGACATGAATTGGGCCGGGCTCGGCTCGAGGGCCCGACTTGCTGCTCTTGATGGGCTCCACATTTATTTCTTCAAGCGGCCCGACATGAATTGGGCCGGGCTCGGCTCGAGCGCCCGACTTGGTGCTCTTGCTGCGGCCCTGCGAACGGGCCCTTGCCTTCTTGGAGCTGACGCAGCCCATGGCCGGCTAGAACCCATCAACAGCTTTCGAAGACCCCATGAATATGATAATATGATGAACTTAATGGGATTTGCGGCCCGAACCCGGAAACGGGGAGACCAGCCCGAAAGGATGGAGGAGGTTGAGTTGAGCCGGGAAAAAAATAAAATTGAAAAAGACAAAAATCAGTGGAGGAGACAAAAGCAGTGAAATTGGAGGGTCAAAATTTATTTATTTATTTATTTTTATTTTTTTTTTATTTGTATTTGTATTTGGGCAGCTTGCGAGATGCTAGGAACTTCGTGGGGTCCGATAACGTGTGTTCCAGTTCCTAATCTTTGTTATAATTCATGGCTTCATACTTTTTTTTTTTTTTT